TAGAAAAACCACCGTCTCCTAAAACATCAAAATTGTGTTCTGGTCTAGTGAATTGAGTTTCAATTCCAAGAAGATATATGGAACAAAACGTCAAATATTCTCCGACGATATAGGCCTCAACAATTAAACATTCCGGATAAGCGTTATTATGCACAGCTTCTTTTAAAAGACCCCAAACGTCTATCATAAATAATCATACATAAGAATTATCATTATAAGGAATTTCACAAGTGAAGAAAAAAAATTTACGTAAGTAATTTCTCACCGCTCAATAGGAAACATCCATCTAAATTGAACTAGACCTCCAAGAATAGTCTCGTATGGTAAATGAATCACCAAATGCACTATTACATCAAAAAAGCTGGAGGAAAAATCATTTCAAGTTTGCAAAGTATTGAAACAATAACTATTCTCATCTTTTCAAGATCTTTAACCTTCAATGTCTTACTACATAACACATCAACTCCTTAAATAATACATAACATGTTATTGGTACCATATATCTACCATCACTTCTCTTTATCAAATGCAACTATTTTCTTATATTCATATTCTCCAAATCTTGTCTAGCCTTGAATGTGTCTTTATTTTTCCCATCCAAACTGAATAATGTTCCTAAAATATTCTCATAAATATTTTTCTTAATATGTATCACATCAAGATTATGTCTTAACTTAATTGTATGCCAATATGGCAACTTGAAAAGAATACTTTTTTTGGTCCAATTCAAGTCATCGGGAGTATGCTTCCTCTTTTTATTTGTTGGGTGTTTTCCAAAATTGACATCTTGAAGATTTTCTAATTGACATAACACATCAATTCCATAGGAGCCAATCGACGTTTAATCTTCTCCTCAAACTTTTTACTTTTTCTCCAACTATGGTCTTGTGGTAAAAACCGATGATGCCTTATATAACCAATTTTACTTCTTAACTTATAGGAACAAGTTTGTTGGTTACATACAGGACAAGCCATATAACCCTTTGTACTCCATCCGGATAAATTACCATATGCGGGAAAATCATTTATTGTCCACATTATGGCAGCATGCATTTGAAAAAGTTCTCCATTTGAAACATCATATATTCTAACACCAACTTCCTATAATTCCTTTAACTCATCAATTACAAGGTTGCATGAATAGATCAATATCCCTTCCTGCTGCATAAGGCCTTGGAATTAATAGTGACATGATGAAAAAAATTTCTTTCATACATTTCCATGGTGGTAAATTATATGACACAAGAATGATTGGCCACATGCTATCGAGAGATACTCATATTACCAAATGGATTGAAACCATCGGTAGTTAGGCCTCGCCATACATTATGAAAATCATGGGAAAACCATAAAAACTTTCCATCAAAATCTTTCCATGCCACACCATCTACTGGATGTCTTAACACACTATCATCAACACGCTTCTCCTTATGCCACCTCATATCTACGACTATATTGGTAGACATAAAAAACATTTGAAGCTTAGGTATTAAAGCAAAATATCATAAAGTTTTATGGGGAATCTTCTTTCCTTTACTATCATTGATTTTCCATATTGAGGTACCACATTTAGGGCAAGATTCATGAGATTCATACTCTTTCCAAAACAAAGCACAATCATATTTACAAGCATGTATAGGGATATACCATAATCCTAACTCACGCAACATGTTCTTTGCCTTGTAATCACATTTTGGAAGCATCTCACCACTTGGTAGAACTTGTTTAAGTGACTCAAGCAACATGTCAAATGATTTATTGCTCCATTTATTATACACCTTTAAATGGAGCAATTTAACTACGAATGATAATGTGGTGAACTTTGAACACCTTGGATATAATTCTTATTAAGCTTTGTGCAAAATTTGTCAAAAGACTTTGCTCTATGGTTTGTGTCATCTCCCATATAATTCCTTCCAAAGTTTTCAAAGTCAGTTAACATCTCATTAAGTTAGTCTTCCTTTTCATCATCATTAGGTGTCTCTCCAAGTATGGAACTCATCATTATGGTAACTAGAACTAGCATTAGATCTAGCATCAAAATTAAAGTGTTCCCCATGATAAATCCATCGAGTATAATCCGTATCTATCCCTCGAATTAATAGATGGTCATAAACCACATTCTAACTCTTCACATAACTATTTAAAGAATCTATACATGGACATCTAATTTCACACTCTCTCCCTACATTATCTTCCATGAATTTCATAAAAGACTTCACTCCTTCTATATCTCGAGTCGACCATTTTCTTTCCTTCATCCAAATCTTATCCATTGTTAAATGCCTATCACAAAAGACCAAATGCATACTTTTGCAAGTTAAACGTGAGATTGTCTTTCAGTTCGGCCTTCGAACAAAATAAAGACTAATGTGACAAACTAAGTATAGATAAAACCTACAAATAAGAACCCATGTCCAGAAATGGATGCAATCTAAAGAAAAAGGTAGTAAATATGCAGAATGATTGACATAAAACTTTAAAAAAAGAAAAAGGGAAAAGCATTCTTCGGGAATAGCTACGTCTCCAATTAAGCATGAAATAAAAGCACACTCACAAAAATAAAGGAAAGTTAAACATACAAATTTAATAAGAATTTGTAAAGCATGAAATAGAAGCATACCTCAAGCAACACGAGACCAAAAAACCTTTTGATAAGTCAAAGAAAGTAGATGAATTGCTTGCTCAAAACCCGCATCCAGATTTTTTTTTATAAGAACAAAATTACATACCCAAACACTAGTCTTTTCTTATTAAAAGGCAAGCCCAAACACAAATGTCTTTCTTCTTTTTTAATTAAAAATCTTGATCTAGTAGGTGTTAGGACCGTAAGAGTAATCAAAGTGAGAAGTCTAGCGTGGAAGCCTTTTACCCGGGCAGGCTCGCCGCGAGCCAAGCATGCTCGCAGTAGGCCCGCCTGCAGTACAAGGCTTCCATCCTTTCCTATCGAAATTAACCATTATTTTTTAAAAAATAATGATTTGGGTAGATTAGGCATGAAATTATTATCATTTGTGTGTATATATAGACTATACTCAAACAAAAATGACAACATGAATCAATTTAATTATCATCCTAAATCTACTTAATCTCTTAATCATTAACAAAGATACCGATGAATATATATTTTTGCAAAGTACGAGAGAATTCAAACCAATACAATCAAATAAGTGCACTCACTTAAACAAATAAAAAACCTTACCAATTACACTTTTTCAAGTTTGTTGATGTTAGAACCATGTCAACTCGCCAACTTTAATACAGTCGCTCCCATTCGAAATAGAGGTCGCCGAGAACAAACTTTCGAGTTCTACTATATCAATCTTAGGAGCCCCGCTATATTAATAGGTGAGATAACCATAATCAAAAGCTATGCCCGACATTGCATAATCATTCCGTGAAAAACAATCGGTAAGAAATTTATAAACAACAACCCGTGACCATAAACAATAGCCATATACATAGACTCATGTATAATTGGTAAGAAATTTGTAGTTTATAGATTTCAATTTTGAAGTCCTTCTTACAAGTATCTAATGACCAACTTGCAGTACGTAAACAAAAACCATACACATAGACTTTGGCACCACCAACAAGGTAGCCCAATTCCAAGTATAATATAATTAGTTTCGAAATTTATAAAATATTATAGTACTTTCCCCTCATTTTTACATCCGTTAAGGCAAGACAAAAGGCTACCGATCATAGCAGTTATTAAAAAAAAACACAATCAAACATGTCTTGCTACGACTCAATTCCAGCTTTGTCTTTGGCATTGACCCTTTTGAACATATGTTCCATTCCAAAGCTTTTTCTAGTGAAGGTTGAAGAAACCAATAGTTAATGACTAACCTAACAAGGCCATGAACATCGGGAACAAATAGTAGAACAACATGTCCCTACCATGTGATAAAAAATATCAAACAAGCGTAATGAACCTTGAAAATTTTGGTTAACCATTCACTCGGTTAAAATTACAAATGATAGAGCCCAAGTTTCTTCTCAATAGATTATGTCCATTTGTACATTCCTTGAAAATAGATTATACTACCCAAGAATAAGATTGCAAAATGCTAATTTTTTCTATATTCTCATATCATTGTTCTCCAAAATTTTCTTACATGTTCGAGTGCAAGGCTGGAAAAAAACCGTAAATGTAAGAATAATTGGAAATATAGTACCGATGAGTATTGAATACAAAATGATAATGTCATGATAGATTAGAAAGAACATAGAAGGTAACTCGATTGCCACAAGTCCATTACTCTCTTGGGAAGATTAGTCTCAACACCCTACTCCGATAAATATCTTTGATGATGCTCGCATTACCCACCATTAATGTCTTTGACTTGAATGGGGAAGGAGAGAAACAAAATCGAAGCACAAATCACACTAAGGAGATTTAATTTTTGGGTATTACTTGAACGATTATGGGTTATGCCAAAGATTTGAGAGGGAAACAATGAAACACATAGATCTACAAGTAAAGACGAGACAGATAGAGTCTTTTATAAAAAATACGGGTATATGTTTTATTCGAAATATAGGGGATGTTTTAGTTTCGTCCTTAAAGATTTAAACATTTTGGTATAACTTTTTTTTGTCCCGAATAAATGTTTAAATAAATAAATTTCATCCTTAAATAACTTAACATTTAAAGACATATATTTTCGTCCCTAAATGGTATAATTCGTCCTAAAATAATTACATTTCATAACAAGGAGGCGGGACTAGCTAAAAATTTGGATGCTAGTCATTTGAGGATGAAATTTTTATTTCATCACGCAACATTAGTATTTTGGGATGAAAATAAATTCATAGCAAAAAGTTTCGTAGCTAAATTTCAAATTTATTTTAGTGAATCTACTAAATATGATCATATATATATATATATATATATATATATATATATAATTCAATAAAACTTAGATTTTTTTAAAATTGTTTATGCTATATACTCGAATCTACTAGGTATGATATATATATACATAAGAATGGAATCATGCTCGTAGGATTTGAACCTACGACATTGGGTTTTGGAGACCCATGTTCTACCCAACTAAATTAAGAGTGCTTTTTTATTATAAAAAAGAAAGCTATAAGTAAAAAGATTCTTTTTTTATTTTACTCCACTACATCTTGAATGACTATACTATCTCATATATAAACTATATTATATATAAATATAATAAATAATAATATGATATAAATAATATCATATTAATTTATAATTTATGATTAGGTATGTCTAATTTTAATTGATCTCAATTGATCTCTTGTTATTGTATTGCTCAGAGGTGAAGTAATAGGTAGGGATGACGGGTTATGAATGTTTGGAATCCATATTATGCAAGGAGACATTGCTTTTGCTAATTCGAATTGAAGGGTGATATAAAATCGGTCTATTTCCGGCATCATATCCATAGTTAGTGCATTCATCCTAGTTAGAAGCTCCAGCTCCGTATCAAGGTCACGGTCGATATCGTCACTCACATCAATATCGTCACTATCATCAATATCGTCCCTATCATCAATAAGAAAACCCTTAGGCTTGTTATCCAGGAACTTGTTCAAAAATACTGTAATGAAAGGAACATAGGAGTTTGTCACCCAATCCAAATATTTTCTATACGTGCGGGCCTTTTTCCGTATCGATAATATCATCTTCTCGCTAGATGTTTATTGACAGTGGATACCTCTCGGCATATCAAATAATTTGCTTTTATCTATTTTGTAATTATAAAAAATCTCTTGCTTATTATTTAATTGGAATGGTAATTCATAAATAGATGAGTCTTTCTTATTTTCATAATTAATGGATTTATATAATAAAATATTATATCTATAGTATTTTTTAAAATTATCTTTTTGGTTCGATAATGAATCTACTTCAAAATTATTTTGTTTTTCGTAATGAATTAATTGGTCTTTTTCATATAAATTCCATTTGTTTAAATCTTTATTTTGAATCATACGCCGTTGATTCATTCTAACTTCATTCAAAGAAACTTTCTTTAAATCAAATCACTACAAAAATCGCTACGGAATAAAATTGGAAAATCATTTCTATGTTGATTACTTCTTTTAGTTTATTTATTTATTTTTTATTTATTTGTATCGAATCCATTTTTTTTAATTTTAACTTATTAGATTTCTTAGTAGATTTATTCACATAATATCTCGAACAAGAAGGAAAAAAAATATCGTATTGTAGGATCACTCGAAAAAAATCAAATCTTTATTTTAGTCCAATTAGTTTCTAAGATTAGGAATTTCTATTATTCTTTTCTAGGTTTTACATTTTTTCTTTCCATATTAAAAAAAAACCTCTTTGTAGTTTAATTAAGTATCAAGAAAAACCTTTTGCATATCATGAGTAGGGACACTATTGCTGACATAATAACCTCTATACGAAATACGGACATGGATAGAAAGGAGACCATTCGAATAGCATCTAATAACATCACCGAAAAAATTATTAATACTTTTACGAGAAGTTTTTATTGAAAATGTGCGTAAACATCAGGAAGGAAATTTTTTTTTTTTTTTTGGCTTTAACCCTACGTGATAGAAGAAATAGGAAAGGACCATGTAGAACTAGTCCAAATTTAAAACGCATCAGTCGCCCTAATCTACAAATCTATTCTAACTATCAACAAATTTCGAGAATTTTAAGTGGGATGGGGATTGTAATCCTTTCTACTTCTCGGGGTATAATGACAGACCGAGAGGCTCGACTAGAAAGAATCGGTGGAGAAATCTTGTGTTATATATGGTAATCTATATGAATTTGATCTAAGTTCATTGTTGAGAAAAAGATGGCTTTTCCCGGATGAAATGAAAATTGGATTCATATATGCAATAGGAGAAAGAGGTTTCTCATTCCTTAGTCTGAAAGATATGTGGCCATGAAATAAGGATTAAGTGGAATAGAATTGACTAGGTGGTAGAGTCGTGGAAACACCTCCTTCTTCCATATTTTGGACACGAAACAATATCTTACTGCTGAAACATGGAAGAATTGAAATCTTAGATCAAAACACTATGTATGGATAGTATGAATTGTTTAAACAAGAATTCTTGAACAGCAAGCAAGCAGAGCTATTACTCACTACATCAAATATTAGTTTTATTAGAAATTAACTATGTATCCGCATATATAACAATAATTTTTTATTTTTTATTTTTTGTTATGTTTTTAAAATCAATATTTTTTAAATAAAATAATTTATATATATATATCATTAGTTTTGTTAAAAATTAATTATGTATTTGCACACATAACACCAATTATTTGTTAGTTATTCTTTTTTATATTCTAAAATCAATATTTTATAAATGAAATAATTAAAATAATATTTTGAAAGAGCATTTCAATTATTCAAATATATCTTTTTATGTTAATATTATTGATTATTTCGGTAATAAATATATATAAATTAAACAATTTTGCTCGAAAAATAAATTTGATTTATATTAATTACGAGAAATAAGATTTTTATTTATATTATATCATATGAATCGTTGACTTTATGTATATAAGGTTGTCCGACCGCAACATAACGAGAGTATCCAACTAGTATAACTACAACACGTGAGGGTTTTGAATAGTGACAATACTGTTCACCCCCTTACAATCACTATTCACTCTATTTTTTAAGGGTCCGAATGGCAAGGCACTCGGCTAAATTACTACAATGCCATTTTATGTCGAAACACATTTAAGGCCCTATTCATTGTTTCCAAATCCAATAACAAAGGTTGAAAAGGTTGCTTGATATGTATGTGTATGAATTAATAGTTGCTAAGGAAAAGAAACAAATAATAACATCACAAACTTTTGAAAGAAATGCTAAGTTGTTGAAATAAAAAATCTACGTTTCCAATGCTCCAATTTAGTAAAATGTAATTTGATATAATATAGGCAAATACTTTGTATTGAACAACTAAGTAACTACTAACTTGGTATTGTAAATCATTCTTGGCTTTCAGATCAACTTATTAATATTATTACTACTACTACTACTATTACTACTACTATAAACTAAAAAAAGTGAGGGGTTTGACCAGGTAGAAATCATTATTCACCCCCTCAATCACTATTCATTCATGTAGCGAAGTTTTTTTTTTTCCAAAAAAAAGCTTTTTCACTACACAACCTTTTTTTTTCCATCAATCTGGGTTCTTTTGTTTTTCTAATTTTCGGGTTTTTTTCATTTTGGTCTCTAATTTTTTTTTTAAAAAAATATTTAATCCCCTAGCTCATGCACTATATATGTCTTTTTTTTCCTCTAATTTTTTCCATTGATTTATGGTTTTTTTTTCATTTGTTAATTTTTGTAAAAAAATTTTCATTATTTATAACTTTATTTTTTGGAATACAATATTATGAAAATTATATTTTAAATTTTTTTTTAGTTCTTGATTAATATTCTAGTTAAAGTTATTATATTTTTTTATTTTAAAATCAATCCGTAAAGAATAATGATTTAGGTTTTTAAAACAACAAATTTATAAAAAAAATTAATTTCAAATTTTTTCACTATACATGCTTTTTCTTTTCTTTTTTCCCTTTTTTTTCCCCATCAATCTAGGTTCTTTTTTATTTAATTTTTTCAATTTTCAAGTTGTTTAATTTTTGTCTCTAAAATTTTAAAATAAAAATTTTAATCCCCGGCTAATTCACTACATATGCCTTTTTTTTCTTTTTTCTTTTTTCTATCAATTTATGTTTTTTTTTTTCATTTGCTAATTTTTGTAAAAGTCTGTCCATTAATCATAACTTTATTTTTTAGAATGAAATATTATGAAAATTATATTTCTAAATTTTTATTTTAATTCTTGATTAATATTTTAGTTAAAGTTATTATATTTTTTATTTTAAAATCAATCTATAAAGAAGAATGATGTATGTTTGTTAAAATAAAACAAATAAGGGGTTTGAATAGTGGAAATCATTGTTCACCCCCTCCCAACAAATCATTATTCATTCCTATAACAAATGTTTTTTTTTTTTTTAAGTTTTTGCACTATACATGATTTTTTTCCTTTGTGTTTTTCCATCAATCTAGGATCTTTATTTATTTATTTATTTATTTTTCATGTTATTTTATTTTGATCTCTAAAATTTTAACATAAAAATTTTAATCCCCTAGCTTTTGCACTATACATATCTTTTTTTTTCCTTAGCTTTTTTCCTTCAATTTATGTTCTTTTTTTTTTCATTTGTTAATTTTTGTAAAATTTTTTCCATTAATTATAACTTTATTTTTTGGAATACAATATTATGAAAATTATATTTTTTAATTTTTTAATTCTTCATTAATATTTTAGTTAAAATTATTATATATTTTTTATTTTAAAATCTATCCATAAAGAAGGATGATTTATGTTTTTTAAACAAAAAATTTATAAAAGAATTCACTATACATGCTTTTTCTTTTTTCTTTTTTTCCTTTGCTTTTTTCCACCAATCTAGGTTCTTTTTTAATTTTAATTTTTTTTTATTTTCATGTTGTTTCATTTTGGTCTCTAAAATTTTAAAATAAAAATTTTAATCCCCTAGTTGATGCACTACACAAGTCTTTTTTTTTTTTTTTCCTTTGACTTGTTTTCTTTACTTTTTTCCATCAATTTATTTTTTTTCATCTATTAGTTTTTGTAAAAGTCTATCCATTAATTATAACTTTATTTTTTAGAATACAACATTATGAAAATGATATTTTTAAAGTTTTTTAATTATTTATTAATATTTTAGTTAAAGTTATTACATTTTTTATTTTAAAATCAATTCATAATGAAGAATGATTTATGTTTTTCAAACAAAAAATTTATAAAAAAAATAAAAAAATTAATTCGATAAAAAATTATAATTAAAAAATTTTAAATTTTTTAAATGACTTTTTTCTATGGAACCCACAACGTAGCGTGGGCAAACGACTAGTTTTAACGAAAGGGCTTTTGGGACAAGTGAGATAGCATCATAATTGACAATTGGATTAAGGTTTGTTTACGAATCTCATGACATCAAGGATTATGTCACATTCGACATACGTTACAAATAAATTTGAAAAATTCATTTTTTTGAACCAATTTTGATGTTAATTTAATTTAAAAGTAATAAATTTAATTTTGATGGAGGTAAGAATTAATTTAAATTAAAAACTTTCAATCTAAAAAGAAAACCTCCCTCCAATAATCTACAATCTTCTCTCTCATTCTTATTTCAATTCCACTCATCTCTCTCTTGCTTAAATCTTAATTTAAATATGTTGCTTTTATATATATATATATATATATCACTCTCATGATTGTTTTATCTTAGTTTTGCTATTTTTATTTGATGTTATTTTTAGAGTTTTTACTTGTTTTGGTTGTTTTAAAATTAGTACTTTTTTATTTATAAAAAAAAAACTAATTTTAAAACTAAAACATGTAAAAATTCCAAAAATAACATCAAATAAAAATAATAAAATTTTAAAGCATGCATTCTATGTGTATTATTTACGTTATTGAATTTTTTTATTTTTTTATATATATATTTTTTATTTTTGCAAACAGGGCGGTAGCTTGACAGATTTTATTAGTAGATAAAAAGCGTTCCAAAACAGGAAGGGGCAAACCAGCCTAGCCCATAATACATGGGAGGACAAGGTAGCCTGGACTCTAAAATACTAATTAAGCAACAATTTGACGGTAATAACAAAACAAAGAAAAAATGACAGTGCAGAAAAACATTACTAACTAAATAACCAAAAGATGAAAGATAGCATGCAAAACACATCGGTATACACAATACCATAATATTGCCATGCACGCATTCTCTTAATTGATATAAGCGAACTGCAAGAGCACTCTGCTGCCTGTAAAGAAACTTTCAATCGTTTCTGGAATCTGGGCATTCCTAATCTGTCTTCTCTTAATGCCAGGTGAACTGAAGTAGGCGTTGCAATCTCCTCCTCATAAAGCACCTGATTTCCGTGGGTATGGGCGTGGCCTGCTAGACGGTCTGCAACCAAGTTTCCCTCTTTGATTGCAAAGCCTTATTTCTTGCATTCCAGATCTCCCATATGCAGCAATGGAATATAACTATTTTGTTGAACATTTTTTGATTCTGAATTCCCGAAGTTTCTAGCCGAGCACCCAAAAGACCCCTTAAACTGGTTCTCCCCACTGCTGTGTTCATTATCTATACAAAGTGATCCCAAACAGACTTAGCCACTGAACCCTCCATAAAGAGATGTGTCAAAGTTTCTATAGCAGGATGGCTGTAGCAATGACGTCGAGAGAGTAAGGCCACCCCACACCTTTTGATCATACTGTCAAAAACCATCCCCACCCCCCACCCCCCCCCCCCCCCCCCCCCCCCCCGGTTGAGCACTTTCCAAGACAGTAGAGTAGCTTCACCAGAATCCATTTGTTCCAGATTTGTTTCCACCATAGAAAAGTTGCACCAGGAAGTCTTACACATTTCCGAAACGTAGTTGTTCTAAAGATTCCATCAACTGAGAGTTTGAAGGTTAGCTTATCCTGTTCATTTGGCTGAAGACATATCGCATGGAAGGAAGCTCTCACTCCTGCAGGAAGGTCTCCCAAAGCATTCCTATTATTCATAATTTCCCTCACCGAAGTGTCTGCCCACTGTCTTCATAATTTCCCTCACCGTAGTGTCTACCCACTATCCCAGCTCCTCCCTAAAACCGTGCCATTTACCCAGAGCTACATCTCCATTTCCTACCAACCAAACCGAGTTGTCTCTAAGGAACGAAACGTGAGGCAGTAGGCTTCTCCAAACTATTGAGCCCTTTTTCCCCCGACACTAGTGTGTTGTAAGTACCATATTTTGAGGTAACAAAACGAGCCCAAAGTGAGGAACCCTGTAAATAAGTCCAAGCTAATTTCCCTTTCATAGTCTGGAGCACTTCATGTAAGTTCTTCACCCCAAGGCCTCCTGCATTATATGGTTTGGCAATAGTTT